CCGAACGCGTCGAGAGGGGTTCCCAAACGTTCGGGCGTTCGGGTTCGGGTGTTCGGCCCGTCCCGAACGCCGGCTTCCCTGTATATATATATATATATATATATATATATATCTTTCTTGCACACATCATTCATACGGCTCGTACCTAAGTTCTTACAGGTGACTGTAGTGAATATGGTGAAGGCATAGTCTGCCATTAAAGAAGGAGATATTGTCAAACGTACTGGATCTATTGTAGATGTTCCTGTAGGAAGATCTATGTTGGGTCGACAAATAGAGCTGCCCGGTAAACCGTAGGCAGAGAGAGAGAAGAGGACAACAAACGAGGGGCTGTGACAAACTGTTTATATATATATATATATATATATATATATATATATACATCGAGCATGTACAATGTACAGCCTTCAGTGACAACTCCAAAAACGTGTTCCTACCACTGACGGGATCATGGACCGATGCACGCGGGAGCCGAGACGAGTGCGTGTTGCCATCCGTCGCTTCGTGCAAACACACTCTGTTGAGAGTCTTGAGACCTTCTTCCCACACGGCACGGGCGTTACATGGAAACGGCAGTGAGAGTTTATTTTCCTCTTGGTCTCTAGCAAACTATGTCCAGGGATATTGAGATGCCCTGTGGCACGGAATCGCAAGGGGGGACGCGTGCTCATGGGATTGCCCGGTTTCTCTACTTCGTCGCGCCCTTCCCACTACCCACTGCCCCTGGACCAGGTCCATCAGAACCTGTTCCAGGTGGAACAGATGGGAGCGCTGCCTCCCACTGCCCCTGGAGCAGGTCCGCCATGGCCTCGAAAAGGTCGGTCACGATGGCTTTAGATGATCTAAGGCCACCTAGATAAGTTCGGACACCATGGCTTTAGACGATCTAGCAAGGACATGGTGAGTGAACGAAAACACCGAAGGCCATGGTGTCAGTACTTTTTCACCACGGCCTTCGATGATTTCATTCACTCACGGTGGCCTTGCTAGATCTAAGGCCCTGGGGCAGGTCCACCATGGCCTTCATTTCGTTCACTCAGCATGGCCTGCTACGGAGGGCTGCTCATATCACCCCCCCCGCCCCCCCCTAGAAGACCTGCTCAGGCCTTCAAAAAAAAAATAATAATAATAATAATAATAATAAAATAATAATCTACGGCCGTGCAACAGGTGGACCATGGCCTTAGATCCAAGGCCATGGTGGAAAAACTCATGGAAGATAGAAATCCAAAAACAGTCGAAAGCAAATTTCAGCGTTTTTTTAATGTTATTTAATTAAATGAAAACCAGCAGAAGGCCTGTTTGACGGAATTTTAACCACACACACACACACACACAAAAAAAAAAAAAAAAAAAAAAAAAAAAAAAAAAACGAATCAGATTCTCTCAAACCCCCCGGTTGTACTTATATTATTAATTTTAATAATTTATCACCCTTCGCTTGCCGAGCTAGGAAACGCCCTGCATGCCAACAAGAAATGAACGGCCGCATTCTCATTTTCGGCTGGCGTCGTTGCCAGCCACTTAGCTCCGGTAGGTAGGCTGTGACCCCAAAAGTCGTCGTAGCACGTTAACGGCCGCACCCGAGCCGAGGAAACTGGCTGGAAAACGTACTGCTTGATTCAACCTTGAACCACGAGTACTTCATGACGTCGTGCCCGTCAACAAGCCCACGGTTTTAGGAAACGTACGGGCCACTACAGGAGCGCCCAGATCCATCCGACTAGAATCGTTTCTATGCTATTTGATAGCTGGGCCGAGTACTGCTGGTTTAAGAGACCCCCCACACCCAAATAGAATGGCCTGGTCTATATTTCACTATAACTCTAGGCTACCAGCCGGGCCGTCCGGGTCMCCCTATTTTCCCGGGCGGCCCGCCGTGCAAGGACCAGGGAAGGGCCCAGCCACAAAAAAAAAAACAAAAAAAAAAAACTCCACAAAATCCGAAAAAAAAACTCTGTTATGCAGAAAAAGAAACTGAACAACTTTTGCCTCAGGGTCACATCGAAATTCTTTATTGCCCGGCCGGGCAAGTGGACCCGGGCCACTCTGGTAGCCTAGCTATAACTAGACTGAAAGTTGGCCCAAAAAATACACTGAAAACAGTATTTGGGGCAACTTTCAGTCTAGATACAGTGAATATAGACCAGGCGTTGTATACGGGTGAAGACAGAAGGAAACACGCTAATCTGGTGGCACCCGCAACACGAAGAGGTCAGCCGCACTGCTGGCTTTCAAAACATATCAGAAAAGAGAAAAACAAAATGCTCCCTCACTCAAATTGGATTCAGGCCATACTCACACTAGCACTTTCCCGCGAATGTATCTCTAGCCGTAGTTACTAATTACCTCCCCTGAATTGAGGATTGCATAAAAAAGAAGACGTAAAATAGAACAACAACAACAACAACCGTGAATTGAGGATTGCATGATGTTCATAAGAATCGTAACCCCCTCCCCCCCCCCCCCCCCCCCCCCCCCCCCCCCCCCCCCCCCCCCCCCCCCCCCCCCCCCCCCCCCCCCAACACCCCGCCCAAAATCCCCCCTTATGAAACTGCAACTTTCTATTACTCACAGTCAGAGTCACTCCTGAATTGAGGATTGCATGATGTTCGTGACAACGACAACGACAACGACAATGACAACGACAACAACAACAACAACCGCAACGACGACAGCGGCGATGATGGCGACGATGAGGCCCTCGAGAACGACAACAACAATGACAGCCACAACCACGACAATGATGGAGGCGATGAGGGCGGCAAGGACAACAACAACTAACATCACGACGATGACGGCGGCGGCGAGGGCGGCGAGGGCGGCGAGGACAACAACAACAACAACAACAACAACAACAACAACAACAACAACAACAACAACGATGCCAGCGGAGACGAGGGCGGCAAGCGCGGAAACAACTGTAAAAACAACAAAAGCAACAACAACAACAACAACAACAACAACAATGATGCCAGCGGAGACGAGGGCGGCGAGCGCGGAAACAACTATAAAAACAACAAAAGCAACAACAAAAGCAACAACAACAACAACAAAGTTAACCCCTTTTACCTTAAGGTATACTTCTGAAAGTTCTGATTATAACTCACAGATTGAAATTTCGAACTAATCTCACGACCGGTTTATCAAAAGTTAACCACTTGTGCATATGCATGGATATGTATACCATAGTACAATTCAGCAACAAGGGCTGTGGGTTGGGAACGCAATTCTTCTATACCCTCAAGAAGGGACAAAAACTAGTAGAGGCAAATGTAGAGGTGAATGTTCACAATTTGATTATAATTTATAATAATATCATTATATAGAGACGGGACAGAAAAAGGAAAGGAGCGTAGAAAGGGAGAAAACAAAAGCAAAAGAAGTCTAAAAAGCACCAAAAATAAAACAACGTTGAAAAAAAGACAAAAAAAAAAGAAAAAAACAGAAAAAGAAACAGAAAGACAGAGAAAAAGAAAACCAAATGACATTCCACTTCTATCTACTTCCAAATGTTCATACTAGAAACTACTAGAAAATTGAAAAACCCAAAAAAAAGAAAAGAAAAGAAAAAGAGAGAAAGAAAACCAAAGCACAGTCCGCTTCTACTTTCTAACAGCAACACACTCCTACATCAGCAGAGATGAAGTCCGTACAATCGTCAACGTATCACTAACGGAAAAAAAAAAAAAAAAATTGCCAGCCGGCCACGTCACTTTGACCGAAGGCTGCCAGTATCTCTAGAAATAATGTCCAATATTGAAATTTGAAATTTATAAATAAACTGTCGGTCTATCGTCCTCCTCATTTCAGCCTCCAGGACGCGATTTCAACACCGACCTGGGCCTCCTCCTCCTCCTCCTCCTCCTCCTCCTCCCTTGAACCTGGACTGTTTCTCTGTAACAGACTACAACGTCCCATTGCATCCCCCCCCCACTTGTGCCTTACAGTTATCGAGTGCCAAAAAAAAAAAAACTTTCGCACCTCTCCACTTTCTACTATCAAAGGTGAATCAGCCCATTTCAGACAGGACAGGGGAAAAAAAAAAAAAAATCAGTTGCACTCAGCGCTGTGTATTGAAGATCTACCAATTACTGAGAGAGGGAAAAAAATAATGGGGGACTACGAAGGGACCCAAAGTAACACCAGCGTTCCTTCTCACTGTTTTCAGCGTGCCCCCCCCGATCTACTCTACAAATAGCTGGCGGATAAGGGGGGGGGGGGAACAAAAGATTTAGTATAATGGCCAGTGTATAAGATAACAATGGCATGAAGGTAAGATAATAATGCCCGATGCCAAATAGAAAGACCCAAGCTCTCATGCATGGTAGGGTATAAAAAAAACACCTACTCAAGTAAGAGAGAGAGAGAGAGAGAGAGAGAGAGAGAGAGAGAGAGAGAGAGAGAGAGAGGTTCATGACCATGAGCATCAGTCAGGAATGCTAGAACGAACCATAGTACCGCGAGGACATCACAAAGTCAAGCGTCCCAGAGCACAATGGCAGTAGATAAAAGTATACCCCCCCCTCTCCTATGTCTACCGTGTGGCATGTCTTCCATTAGCAATACCCCCCCCCCCCCCCCCCCCCCCCCCCCCCCCCCTAAAAAAAAAAAAAGAAACACCCCCTGGACCAGAAGAAACCCGCAACACCCCCCTAGCTCAGCTTCTCGTAGGCATATTTTGTCATATTGTTACAATTCTCCCCCCCCTCCCCCCCCTCGCCCCCGCTTCTCAGGCATGAACAGTATCCCCTCAGTCAGACACATTATCATCAACAAGGGCCATTGCTGGTGGGTGCAATCGAGGATTTCAAAGGGGGGGGGGGAGGGGGAGAGAGAAAGGTGGACTGCTTCCCTAATAGATATTACAACCAGGGCCCAAGAAGGCACTAGAAAGCTACCATCTTCCTCAAATAGAGCGCCCAGCGGTCATTACAGCTGTATTTCGTGCGACTTTCAGTCCAGATGCGGCCATAAAGATCCGGAACCAGGCCACGCAGCCACACATTCCAGTGGAGAGCACATTGAATTAAGGACCAACGATTCGTCAAATTGGGGGTCCTTAATGGGGCTCCTTAAAGGAGCCGCCTTAACGGGTTCTCCTTAAAGGGGTTCCCTTAAAGGGGTCTTTGTCTAGTTTGCAGAGGTTTATTTGGAAGGGGTCTGCTTAAAGGGGGGGTCTTTGTCTAGTTTAAAGGTCCTTAAAGGGGTGTTTGCCTAGGTTACAAAAGGTCCTTAGAGGGGTCTCCTTAAAGGGGTCTTTGTCAAGTTTAAAGGTCTTTGTCAAATGCAAAGGTCCTTACGAGGGGTGTCCTTAAGGGGATCTCCTCAAAAGGGGTCTCCTTAAAGGGGTCTCCTTAAAGAGGGGTGTCCTTAAAGGGGTGTCCTTAAAGGGGTGTCCTTAAAGAGGGGTGTCCTTAAAGGGATCTCCTCAAAGGGGTCTCCTTAACAGGGGGCTCATTAAAGGGGTCTCCTTAAAAGGGGTTCCTTAACAGGGATCTCCTCTAGTTTGCAGGCGTACGTACTTGGGATTTTGGGGTCCTGTACAAAAGAAAAAGGGGGGACGGTTATAATTACTAACACACCATATCCTTCTCTCTCTCATGGACTTTTTTTTTTTTTTTTTTTTTTTTTTTTTATGAGATCGCTACTCACACGTGTAATAACGCACAACTGTAGCCGCCGCTTAGTCATTCACATTGCGACTGCAACTCTCTCTCCTTTACTCTCCTCCCGTTTTCCTTCACCTGTGCGTCACTGACGTTCAATGCGATTGCACCCCTCTCTGTCTCCTCTCCTCTCTCTCCCCTCTCCTCTCCTTTCCTCTCCTCTCCCCTCTCCTCTCCTCTCTCTCCCCTCTCCTCTTCTCTCCTCTCCTCTTTCTCTCCTTTGCTCCACCTGTCTACCGCTGGAGATTGTTGCCCTATATATGGGACCCCATGGTCACAGAGACAGCACTTGATATTCCCAGGGCATCAGCAATAGCTCTCACAGCGCAAACCATTGCCACTTTGCTATTCAGCTTATTTACAGCAGAACCAACTCCCTGCAAA